GATGAGGGCTTGGGAGTTGGGTGATGTGAACATTTCGTGTTGTGGTCTGAATGTGTTACGACGGCACGTGATGCGGCCGCAGCAGACCCCGAGTCGCGTGGAGTGCGAGGTCCCGCCCAATGCTGCTTGCAGCTTTAATCTTGATTTCTGTTTCATTTAGCAGTAATTTTGTACATTTGTAAAATGTAAGTCAAATGGGTTAGTATATGAACATTAACGCTTAATGTAATGTAAATAGCTAAATGTGTTATAAGGAAGATTGTTGTGAACAAAACACTAAGTTGGTTTATGAAGTGAAAAAGAAAGATTCTGTTAAAAAAAAACAGAGAACAGCCTGCTGAGCGATCACAAGTAATGTCTCCTGTCTCTGCTTTTCCTGTACAAAACAGGACACTATACCTGCTTACAGGTAACTCATGCTTGAGGCCTGTAACACTTCCATCTAAGTTCAAACCACCAATTCATAGTGTCTTTTCTATCTTTCTCGGTTCTGATTGGTTGTTTTCGTCCAGGCTCAGTGGATTCTTGCAAATACCATTAGGAGCACTAGGAGGAGCCAGAGGATTGGATTTTTTCAGTTTTTCTATGTCATGTACTACTGTCAGGATATGGTGAAAGTTTCAGAAAATGTGATGAAAAGTTATTTCTATAAAAATTACCAACTGCAGCAAATTCTGGAGACATAATGGACATCATCTACAAAAAACCAGACAGGCCCCCCGGTCTCTACACTTATAATTAGCCGGCATGGCCTCATGTCAGGTATGTGTAAGGAGCGTGGAACATGCAGAGTGACTGGCCTGCAGGATGTGAGTCACACTGCTGCTGGCCTTGGCCTGGTTGGCCTGCCTCTGCTCTTGGCAGGAGTGCAGTGGTTTAGGGACACTGGGGTTTGTGGAAACATACTGCAAAAATACACATTTCAGGTTACCATTCCCTTTGTTATTACTTTGCAAAACCATTTAGAGACATTATGACCCACATCAGCATTTAAAAACAGTTGCAAAATATCCAGTCATTCCAGGGAATTCCAGTTCATGGGTGCAAAGCAAATCCATGAGTATAAAGTATATTTGCCCTTTTGTTTAATCATTGTTGTTATTGGATGTGCTTGATTCAAATTTTATTAAAGCTATCTTGCAACATTAGTGTATGGAATATTGTGTTTTTTGTGAGATGAAGGTCTGAAAGAGGGAGGAATTTGTTTTGTTTTGGATGTGTCAACCTCTCGAGAGTTTTGCGTGTTTCCTCTTGAGTGTGATGCTTCACTTCTGCCAGAGTCCGACTAGCTTGGTTTAAGGATTTAACAATTGTATTTCTCAGTGGAAATGGACATTGAATAATAATATTTTTTTTACTCTTCCATAACATTTTTGTGAATGAAACTAAGTTACTAGTTATGGCAACTTCTGATGAAATTATGTTCAACAAATGTACTACATTGAGTTAGGGGAATTAGCTTTTCCTCTACAATCAAAGGTATTTTTAATTACCACTTACTTAATAATTGGTAGCATAAACACAAGTTTTTGAGTTGGTTAGGCTACTCATTAAAATAATGCATTTGTGTTGACAATATGTCTACTTACTTTTTAGAGTGTGCAAAATGAAAATGAAATGCAAATAGATGATGCAGATCCTTGTCTCTGTGGGGTCAATAATGCCTCAGGGCTCCAGCTGAGGTTGTGTTAGACTTTCTCATTGTCTGTCTTTTAGACAGACAGACAAATTCCATCATAATCTATTACACATCACTTTAATTTTTTTTTTTTTTTTTTACAATTTTTTTTTTTTTAATGATAATGTTACGTATAGCCATATATATTTATATGCATTACATATACACTAGATGCCACTAAATCCTACACACTGGTCCTGAAAAGTTTGAGTTAGAATAGTTTGTAAGAGCATGAATATAAATCATAGGAAAATGGACAGCCGTTGTGAAGCTCAGTGTGGTCGGCTCTGGCCATTGCCATCTTGGCAGTCCAAAAATCAGTGGAGTGGAGTGCGTGTGGAGCTCAGGCGGGCTGAAAACCAAACTGTCACTCAAAGCGTCTATTCCCTTAATTATGCATAATTTTAAGCCTTTATATAATGAATGAATTTTCATATGGGTCCTTATGGAGATTGACTCATTGCAGGAGCCAGTCTCAAGTGGCTGTTAGAGAAAGTGCAGTTTTTGGCACTTCTGTGTTGGCTTCATTCAGACGTACAGAGCCTCTTGGACCTATACCCCCAAACCCCACAGGAAGTCGGCCATTTTGATTTTAATTTTCACTTTCTGCAACTTTTCTGAGAATAGAGAGAGATTTAGATCTCGATAGAGAGTATTTGAACGAACTCCTCAAAGGGAATTTATCGGATTCCTTGAAATACTCATATCTTCAGTGTACAATGTCCAATATCCACTAAACTTCACATATTCTGTAACAGTCCTACACTGAACACGTCCTCATGTTTAATAAGAGTCCCGCCCTGAACACGTCTACATGACAATATTCAGATATTCAGGTGAGAGCACCACCTACTGGCAACAGGAAGTATCTCTGCCAAATTTTCATGTTGTGGTCCGCACGTGTTACGACGGCACGTGACGTGGCCGCAGCACACCCACACCTGAGTCATGTGAGTGGAGGCGCGCTCATCCGCTGCTTGCAGCATTAATTTTATTATTAGTAGGGCCGAGCAGCTGAACGTGAGAAGGCCCTATTGTAATTGAAGGAATTCTTTTTCTTATTCCTCCTAAACAAACGCATATTTGGAAGCTTGCCCATGCTCAAAAAATCATGAAACTCGGCGCACATTCAGACGTGGTGAAAAAATTTTATATTCTATGTTGTCGCGTTGGGTTGGCCACTAGGTGGCGCTACTATCATTAAAAGTGGTTATAGGCCTAATAACTTCGTGCATAGTTTGTCGCACATTCAAAAACAGTTATATCCACGCGTTCGGGTGAATGAAATCCTCATTGTAGGCACCCACTTCCCGCCCTAGAATTTTTTTGTGTAAAGCGCAAAATGGTCAAAAGGCCACTTTTCTGTTACTCTATACACTTTGCCGATTTACACTTGTCAGGTAGCATCTGGGACCGTCCTGGCAAAAGCAAAATACTCAATCGAAAGATTGTTTTGATATTTAAAAAATAAGCACGCTATTAAAATTAGCACTCTCTGTACATTTTTCGTCAAAAAAGGAGATGGAGGCACATTTCTCCACTATATGGAATATAATGTCCGTCGACACCTAGCAATATTGTCCATATTCCCCAATGAATCATCCTTAGGGATTGTGCACAAATTTCAGGCCCATTGCCACAAGGTGGCAGCTCTCTTAAAATGAAAGAAGTGTATTTCTCCGTCATCTTCGACTACTGTGCAATTCACAAAACATTATAGGTTTCGCGGTAGCGGCGGGCGGATGCTTGGCCCATGCTCCCTGTAATTCACTCACTCGTCAAAGTATATAGACTGTGCTATATCCGCGTAGCTTTCTACTACGGTACACCCGGCAGGTCCGAGCGCCAGCTCTGGGGCAAATAAGAAATCACAGTGTTGCACCCTGCTCACCTCTCTCAGAGTAGAGTGAATGTCTGTAGTCACAAGCTCTA